GGCATATGTGTTTCATCTCAAAAGGCAAATCTAAGTAAGTGTCCTTCCCTTGTTAGTTCAAATCGTATGTACACTGCTTTGTAGAAATAGGCGATACATACACCACATCAAAAGACTCCCTCTAATGCAAAGATAAAATGTTTGGTGGTATTTCGTCATTTTGCAAAGATGACAAGCTGGCAAGTCTTCATGAGCTGCTGCGGTCAGTCTGGACAATGATAGTCTTGTTGCATGCTTTTCTTCATACAAATTGTCCACCAACTCCACACATTTATCTCATGTCAATTTTGGAACGAAGCATCGGATTAGTGCCAGATGTGTGACAAGTTTACGATGTATTATTTACGGTGGACTTATTGAAAAGTTTCCAACAATTCGTTTGACAGTTCACAGAACTACATTGTAAAGATTTGCAAAGATCGACGAACGGCTTGTTATTGAAAGGTCTTTATGTAATCTTGAGAACATGACCAAAAAATCTATTGAACTAGTGCAAGCGCGCACGCATTCCCGTATGAGGGCGTGGGTCAGTGACCGAGATTTAATCCTTATCGACTCCAGCGCTCTGGATGTGAAATCACAGCATTCCGGTATCCCATCTATATTTTTATTGAACACATGCTGCGTAGATAAACAAATGGTTAGTGGCCGTCAACGGCAGCATATTTCAATTTAGTTCGAGTGATCGGTTTCTAAGAGAGTTTAGTCATAACTCAAGGTTTTCACTTTCTCCTTCTTCTGTTGATGCTTGTTGATCTGAGTCCACTTATAGTTCTTCGCCTACAATATATCAACAGTAATAATTATCAACGAATCCTTCAGTGTTTTAGCTCCAAAAAATCCCTTCAGATGATTCCTTGGGTTCTCATCTTTTTTGCCGGAGGCGCATCCAGCTCATTTTGCGGCAAAAGTGGTGTGCCCTTCAGCGTCGAAGTGCTGCCTTCAGGTACTCACGGAATACTCGTACAGCAAGAGAACAGTATTTTTGTGGCTTAAAGGTGCTCCTGTGCTGGGATGCGCTCAACCGTCATGTCTTGCTCAACCAGCCGATGATGTTGATGACAGCGTGTTCAACACCGACGCGTCTGGTCAAATTGACGGCTTCTTTCGTGAGGGCGACAATTCGCATCAAGGGTACCTTCAAACAAACAAGCTGAGAGCGGTTCGTAACTTTCTTTTTGTTTTGGTTTTTTTGTTTGGTTCTTTACTGCGCTAGGAGTATTGTAGTACATGTATTGATGATGTCCTCTCTGATTCCGCCTGGAGAAATCTGAAATTATTGACTTAACTAGTGACTGCCACGCTCTCTAAACTTCGATTTACATGTTCTCTTTCTTTTTTATTTACTATACATCAGTCTGCATAGCTGATTCCTAACAATAAGAAGAAACTACCATCGCAGAGTCGCACAGCGAGACAGCAAATTTTTTGTTCGACATCCGCTGTTTCGTCAAACCTGTTCTAGCACCCGGTTTCGTGTCGAAGTGTTACATATCACTGTTTCTCATTTGTAGGAACAAATGACAGGTATCACGCGGATTTGAACCAAACTTACTTTCGCAAATTACGAGAATTGTGCAAATTACTTGTCACAGGAGACCTCATCCGATCTTGTTCGTTTCAACTCATTGATATACCTGTTGTTCTAATCCACGTAGGCTTAATTTATCGCCTATTAAGTCAATCAATATGAAAAGTTCTCAACTCATGATTTGTTCTCCCCAAACCCGCGATCTACTCATTTGTTTGTTCGCACGTTTCAGTTCTCGGTAGATCCTGAAAGTTGGGAAGGCACTATTGAACTTACATTTTCCTTAGCCTGAAACCATATTTTCCCGCAATTTTCTTTTCCTCCTCAATATTAGCAACACATTGAAGAACACGGTTGAATCTAGATGGGATGCAACAGCAAGAATGAATATGAAAAGAAGAGAGGACTAAGAGCTTGCGACCAACCCTTACTACACTATTTCAAGTTCTTGATCTTGTAAACCAGCGATAGCTTTTGTGTCTAGACAGCATTTCGCACATTTTCTTTTCTGCAGAACTGCTCGGATGAGTTCGATCAGCTGGCGTGCTCAAGGAAAAACCAGTGGGTTGGAGGGATCGAGTACATAGACCACCCACGCCAGCCGTAAGCCTAACACTGGACCCAATCACAAAAGCTCAATCACGTGATCTCTTTGAGTTCAGGCTACTTCTGCAGTGCTGCACATTCGAAGGCTTACGATTTTCTCAGATAGTAGGTGTGACACCTATAGGGCCCGGCGAGGCAGTGACTGGAGGAGAAGTGGTTCGTGATGGTCGTCAAATCTCATTCGACGTCATCGCTAACATTCGGAAAGTAGTCAACACCGATGATCCAAGGATGTAAGTGCACTAATTTCCTCATAGACAGAGTCGCATAGCAAAATCGACAATGCAGTCGTCACCATAGTGTCTGCCGGGTTCGTCTAAAGTACCTCAGTTTCAATTTCTAGCGCGAAAACGAAAGGAGAGATTGAATTAGGACATGTCGAGAGAATGTCCAGCCTAAATCGCGATAATTGTTCACTGTAACGTACAAGCTGCGCCAAGATTATTTTCGTCAAAAATATCAAAGTGATGCGATATAAATGGACTCAGGAAATTGTTACGGAGTACTTTTCACAGAATGCCGTAAGCTTACTTTACAAGACGCAGTTTTGAGGTTACAAAACGGTCTTTGCTTGTAGACGTAAAAACTGCAGGAAACAATATTGCGAAAGAAAAAAATATTCAGAATTTTCGTTTTGAGCTCTCCCAAATAAAAATCTATACCAAGAGGTAATCAAAAACATGCATGCTAAGCAAATTTATGAGCCACTAACAGCACGCAAAAGCTTAGAGATAC